TTCTGTCGTTGCAGCGTTTCAACGCACTTGATCTCGTTCGATTCATTCAGTTGGCTTAGCTTCGTGGCTTCGTTGCTGCCTAGCTATTTAGTTGCATATGCATCTATGGCATTTTTTTTTTTTTTTTATCTTATTTATTTTTCTTTATCTTCAATCTTTCAGCCGATTATGAATTCGATTCATTTGAATTGACTGGTAGTGTTCAAACGTAGCGTAGCCTTATTGCTTGCATCAGTCAGATATCCGACTTCGACAGCGAGTGCCAATGCCTGCAATTTACTCAGGTCGTTGGTTTACTCTCTACATGGAGGATTTGCATAGATGTAGTCGCCACTATGAACAATTCATTTGCGAAAAAGTAGGTAGAATCAAAATAAAGTATGATCAGGAACTAACCGATTTCTGAATCCAACGCCAACGCTACCGGAGAGGAGAAACAAAGGCAAAAGGCAACAGGGTATAAGATGCGGGATCGTAACCATCATTAGGATAGGAGGTACCAAAGCAAGCAAAACAAGAAGGCAGCTTAGCTCCGTTCCAATTTCTTCTTCTTCTCGGCAAAAACAGCCTCTAGCTTCCGAATCTGCAGACCAAGACATTTCTTCTCTGCGTTCGCGAGCAGCCAAGCTTCCATCTTCTCCCGCACATAGCGCATGGAATGAGTGACAGGAAGGATCGGCTGGTTCTCAGCGTTGAGGAGATCCCGATCCGGGTCCGCGGCGTCGAGTTCCATGCGCGCCCAGCGCTCGGTACACGGGTTGAGTAACAGGTCGAAAACATCGGTCCAGATCTCGCGGTCCCAGTACCGTTTCAGCGACTCGCGGATGCGGTACGTACGCACGGACGCCGAGCCGCCTTCGCTTCTCCGCACCGGAGTCGACTCGATGTATTTCCCGAAAAGCATGACGTGCACAGTTCCCGCGAGGCCGTACAGATCGATCTGGTGCGTCCAGGGCCGCAGCTCGCGGATCTCGTTGCATTCGTGTTCGCCGGTCTCCCAGTCAGCGATAAACTGAACAGAAGGCTGGAATGCCCGCATGTCTATACCGCGGCCGAAATCGATGAGCGACAGGCCCTTGGTGCGCCAGCCGCACAGACCACGAGGGGAGTAGTGGATCTCGCGCGGGTTGGTGATCTCTTCTTCCAAGTCGATCAGAGAGGGTGCAATGGGCTTGTCGTCGAAGCGGATGAGACAGTTGTCGGCTTTGATATCGCCGTGCAGGATGCCGCACGAATGAAGGGCCTCAACGGTCCGGAATAGCTCCACGGTGAAGAACATGGCAAGTGCCTCGTCCAGACCACCTTCTCCAGTGCCATTGGCTTTGATTGACTCGTTACGCATCAGATTAACCAGATCCAAGAGTGTTCCCTGCCCGCGGTAATCTTCCACCAGAATGCTTTCCCCTTTGTACACGTGAAGCTCGTGGGCGCGGATGATACTGTCAGTCGCACGAGATAGCTCTGGTAGTTGACTTATGCGTTCGTGAGCGATCCGAATCATGTAAAATTCCCATGCGTTCGGACGGCCGACTTCCAGTTTGATCGCCTCGAAGCCATAACGGGAGTTACTGCGGGCTATCGCTTTCCTTTCGTTCATGAATTGGGAATCTCGACTGTCATCGTCTGCGGGTTCGGCTTCCGAATCGGAGGACGAACCAGTCTCGAGGCTATCGACGCTTTCCGCAAGGTACACTGGCGCATAGGCTCCGGCTCCCAGTTCTCGCCTGATGATATAACATCTCTGTGCTCCGGGTAGTTCGAGAATTGGCACATCGAATGACGCTTCGTCACCGCTTCGAGGACGCTTGACATGCGTTTTGACAAACTTCTGGATCGCAGGCGCATAGTGGCTTTCCACTTCAGGGTGACCATGGTACCCAGGGTAGGATGCAAGCGGCGGATCCACGGCCTGAAGAATGGTGTTGCGAATGTTCTTGTCTGTGGGATTACACTGGGCATCATCGATAATAACCCGATGCTGTTGTTGTTCCTTCAAGGGCGACAGTATCTTAAGGCTGGATCGTGCTTTCTTTGCCGTAGGACTCATCGCGACATCCTCAGAGAACCCAGTGAGATTCTCGGTTTGCTGTGGTGTTGCACCGATCAGCGGAGTGGTAAAGAGGTTTCCCATCTGCGGTTTGGATGGCGTTTTGGTGTTGTACAGTGTGTTTCGAGCTGCTGTCATCGAAGGGAGAGAGTGCTCGGTTTGCTCCACGATCGGTGTCATAAAAGGCAGACGATTTTGCGCGACTACTGCAGGATCTCGATACGGACCATAAGGTGGATTATAGTCCTCTGGCATCTCAGGCACAAATCTTTCTCTCCTGCTCGTCTCTTCATCATCCAATGTGTTTGAACGGGGCGAGACGGGATCCACTCCCAGTGAATGTGTTGGGTCTTCTTTGGTGGAGAATTGAGTCCATTCACCGTCAACAACACTCTCAGCCTGCGTCTGGTCGTCAAAGTCCTCCTCCTCAGCTTCATCATCAGATCTGTGAAAGGTAGTGGTCTCGTCGTCACAAAAGTCACTGGAGGTGACGGAAATGCGACCAGTGCATGTGCTTTCACCAGCACTCGTGTAGTCGTCATCCTCAAAGTCACTACTGTCTGCTACATTCTCTGTCTCTGCCTTGAGTGGCTGATTGAAGATGCTGTAGATCTCGTCGGTGGCAGCGCGAGTATGGATTGTCATTGTCGGCTCAGCCGTGCTCTTGCGCCGAATCTTGCCTCCTGTCGGAGAGTCGAACTTCATTTTGACTGGACAGTTTGTCAACGGTTAGTAAGGAATTCGAAATTGAGGGCACGAGAATGCAGCCAGGAGATGTTGCTTACTTGTTTGTGTCTCGCCTTTGACTTCGCGTAGTTTTATTTTCCGTGCTTTTCCAGCTTTGCCCTCAATCAATCCATCTTCAATCGCCCGCTGCGTCCCTTGTGAGCCTGCATCTTTCACTTTCAATTTTTGACTAAACTGCTCTGACAACCCATGATCCAGACTTTGCACAATCGCATCTCCCGCTGGTGTCTCTGAACCAGCGACATTGCCGGATATCTCCTTAAAGGGTGCTTTGTGCGAGCGCCAGTTTTTATCCATCCATCCACGGTGGATGGCCCGAAGTTCTTCAAAGCTGACCTCTTTGGTTGGATCCCTATAATCAGGATACACTGCCTCAAGATTGACAAAGACACGCTCTCGTCGTCCGGTTCGAGGATTTACCGCTTCCCTTACATGATGATCTGGAACTTGTTTTGCTTGCGTCGTTTCTGAGACAGATACATTTGGATTTGACTGAATACATGAAAACGTAAACCGAGATTCGGTACATGCCACCAATTAGTCCTGTGATCGTAAATATATGGAATTTCAAGAAAGGGTGATAGAACAGCGAACATGAACTCACCTCATCTCTGAAGATCGGCATCTTCTCCTTCGGAGCAGCCTTCTTTCCTGCCTTCAAGGTCTCCCCGGCCCACGGCTTCGCCTCCACACTGTTCTCCTTACGTCTCTCGTGCATCGACCCAATGCTATCCCATCCCTTGGTCTGCCCTGATACAGCGGGCTGGCTTGCTGCCGAGTCAGTGTCCGAAAAGATAGCCATCTTGGGCTTCCCCGACTTCGTCCGCGGGGCAGCTGCAGCGGCGGGAGCGGGGCGTTGCGCTTGCGGATCAGCAGCCGGGGCTGCAGATAGAGAAAACGGATCGACCTTGGCAGCCAGTGCAGGTCGCACCGCGGGTAAAGCTGGTGATGATGGACCATTATCCTGTGTGCGCTGCTCGTAGCGCTTCTGGAACTCGCTGTATTTGCGGATCAATCGTTCAGTTGGTCGAGCTTCGCGGTCAACCCCCAGTCTATACACTTCCTCTGCTTGCGTCCAGCGTCCAGCGCCTTCGAGCCAAGCGGCGAACTCTTCATAAAAAAGCGCTAGCCCTTCACCGATATGGTGACGCGCCAGAAACGCAAAAGACTCGCGTGGAGAGTCTGAAAAGAGCCTAATGTAGTGAAGCCATAACCGCAAATAGCGGGGATCATTCTTGTAGTGGGCTGAGGAGAGGAATGTCTTGACGGCGCGTTCAAGTAGAGGAAGAAGACCGGACTCGGCGGTCGCTTGTGCGGAGGGGTATGCGTTCAGTGTCCATTTCACGTATCGGTCATATATATCAAGCGGGTCATCTGAGTCATCAATAGCCTGCAGTTCTGCCTCGTACTCCTGTCGAATGGCATCATTCAGGGTCCTGGTTTCGTTTGGTGATGGAGCGGCGAGTTTGTCACTAAGGTCTCTGGGTGAGAAGATGCGAGCCAGCTCCTTGGCTGAGCGCCCCCCTGGTAATGATTGAATGTTCTCCTTCTGATTCTCAATGATATCAAAATTGATGAGATCCTCGGAGGCCGCCATGGCGGCGACAGGTAAACAAGCGTGCGGTCCGAAGGTATTGTTCTGGTGTAATTCGTGGGAACGTTCGTCAAGGGCACAGTATCTTCAATCTCAGTTCGTATGCGTCAGGTTGCCGATTGAGGAAGTTGTAAAAGTCGTTAGTCGATGGATTGTCGAACGAGGTCGAGATAAAAACTTGAGGCTGAGAACTACGCAAGTTTGCGTTTATCGATAAACAGCCCCTTTCGGTTGCCCTGGCTACTGATCACGTGGACACTATACTCTACTTGGTAATATTCGAAGGTTGACCTCTCTTGTGGGACGCTGCAAATTTACTAGACATAGTCTCAGATGAAATAATGAAGGACGTATAGATATTTGTACATCTGGATCAATTTTCTAGCTTATAAATAACTAAAAAATATTGGTAAGTTGCGTGCGCAATAATATTCGGATGTGACGTCGCCAGTAGCACGCGTCTTAACTACCATTCTCCGCCTCCACGAACGTTGAAGTATCAAACCCGAGTCAACTGAACTCGACACCTTCATCCGGAGGATTTTCGCCTTGAGACCATTATTGGGACTTTTTTTGTTTTCTGTAGCATATTTATACGATCCAGCAGACTCGATGCCACCACGATCCCGTAATGTGACGTCCAGCGCCGTCTCCGAATCCTCCCCTCAAAGTCCGAGAAGAAGCGACCCAACGAAGAACAGAAAGAGAGACATTGACGAGCTGCAAGAGCAGAGCTCTCCGCTGAGGAGATCGAAGCGCTTCAAGTCGACCGAGGCGTTAAAAGCTTCGCCAGCACCGGGCCAATCGGAGATCATCGACGGTCCATCTGCTATCGATTTGAGGCAAAAGAAGCCGGCAGTGTCCCCAAAAGGGAGGAGATCACAGCCTAGTGTTTCGATAAAGGAAGAAGTTGAGGAGAAGCTTGAGATACCCATCAATACAAAGGCGGATAAGGGGAGTCAGGCAGCGCCGGAGAAAGCAGACGAGACCACTACAGTGACGGGAAAGATTTCGAGAAAGAGGAAGACCAAGCAGGAAAAAGAGATTGAGATGCTCCCTCTGCGAGCCAGAACACAAGGTGTGCGCATGTGCGTAGGTGCGCATGTTAGTGCCGCAAAAGGTTAATTTTTCATCTGTTACTCGATACGTATTTCCTGGTAGAAGCTAATCAACTGTATGACATTAGGAGTTTTCAATGCCGTGCATAACAGCATGCACATCGGGTACTATGAAAGATTCCGGCCGGCTCGAGTGTGAAAGTTGGCTGATATACCATCTAGTGGTAATTCATTTGCCCTCTTCCTGAAGTCGCAGAGGAAATGGGAGAACCCTCCCCTGCAAGATGATCATCGAGATCAGTTCCGTCAGATGTGTCTGGAACACAAGTATGACGGCGCAAAGTAAGCTACACAGAGCCGTCCGACTTTAATGACCTGGCAATTGCTGACCAGGCACAGGCACATACTCCCCCATGGCTCATATCTCGTTAACCTAGCACAAGAGGACAAGGCCAAGGCGAAGCAGGCGTACGATGCATTCCTAGACGATCTCCGCCGCTGCGAAGCGCTTGGAATCACTCTCTACAACTTCCAGTTAGACTCAGACCACTACCACCGGAAACAAGTTGGCTGAATTCACTAACCATCCTACAGCCCCGGAAGCGCCAACCAAAGCAGCCTCCCGGACGCCCTCTCAAGGCTCGCCAAGGCCCTGACCAACGCCCTCGAAGCCACCTCAACCGTCGTCCCCGTCCTCGAGACGATGTGCGGCCACGGCACCACAATCGGCGGCTACCTACCCGAGTTCCGGGATCTCCTCGCCCTGATCCCGTGCGAGCACCACCGCCGCATCGGCATCTGCATCGATACCTGCCACAGTTTCGCAGCAGGGTACGACCTCTCCTCACCAGCGGGCTACCAGTCCTTCATGAAGGAGTTCGAAGACCAAATCGGCCTGCAGTACCTCCGCGCCCTGCACCTCAACGACTCCAAAGCGCCCCGCGGTAGCAAGCGCGACCTCCACGCCAACATCGGAACAGGCTTCTTGGGCCTCCGCGCCTTCCACAACATCATGAACGACCCGCGCCTCGAAGGCCTCCCCATGATTCTCGAGACGCCCATCGACCGCCCCGCCAACCCAACCCCCACCACCATCAAAGACGAAGCAGGTGACGCCGATGCCGACGTCGACGCCGACTCGGAACCTGAACAGAACAGCAAGAAAAAGACCCCCAAGCGGCCCAAGGCTAAACCTGCCGGGGCGAAAGCTCTCGTCCCCGACCCGTCCGTTTGGGCTCGCGAGATCGCCCTCCTCGAGTCCCTCATCGGCATGGACGCCGAAAGCCCCGAGTTCAAGGCCCTCGAGGCACAGCTCGCCGAGGAGGGCCGCGAGGTCCGCGCGAAACACCAAGAGCAGTATGAGCGGAAACTGGCGACCGAAGAGAAGAAGAAGGGTAAAGCTGCGGGGGCGGGGAAGGGCCAGAAGACGTTGATGGGGATGATGCAGACATCCGGGAAGAAGAGGAAGGGGGCTAAAAAGGGGCCTGAGAGCGAACTAGAGAGTGAGGATGAAGGATGTCAGAGCCATTGATGCTAGCTGCTGAGATATCGCATTCGAATTGTGGCTCTTGTATACTACGTGACTGTGACCGATCGAATTCAAACGAAGGGTACTACGCATGATGCTTATCTAAGAAAATTGATGGCTGGAAATGATGCTGCCATTACTTGAACTCTGATGGAGCGAGGTATCAAACAATATCACGTTGTAACTTGGGTATTGTCATGCGAGATCTCAAACTAACTAAGGAATCAAGCCCAATAGGCCCACTGGGAGGATATATAGACAGCATTGTCAAAAGTAATCATTGGTATCACTCGAAAACGAAAACGGAACCATCCCATCAACACGGGACGTCAATTGCAAATATGTGCACGAGCTATTTGCAGCTCGATCATCTATACCTTCCCCACAAGTTCGATGACAGATATCTAGTGATGTCCACCATGTATATGGTTGACGATACTCTGGATGACCATCCAAGCACCGCCCTTTTTCTGTCCCGCTAGTTCCAGACTGACAGGAAGGGAAGATTCGCATGGACACGGGCAGAAGCCGAGCATAGGGACTTGAAACCAAACCAGTGGCTTCGATGGAAGCGTCGTACAATCCCAGTCGCTCCTGATCAAGGTCTTTATCCCGACACTGCCCGGTCGGTGGACGGCTGTAAGTTGCCTCCAGCGCTTGGGCCTCGTCCCACCCGCGGCGGAAATTGGGAGTCGGCGGTCAGGACTACGGGCGGTGCGGACTTGAGCGGAGACGGACCCGCCAGACGCGGGGAGAACGGTCGACTCTCATTATCGCTTAGATTCCCGGTGGCAATTGTGAGTCCATGAATGTTGCTACTGGCCCCGCTGGCCCTCACTTGGAACGACCGCCGGTCGCCAATCAAGCCATCGACGGGCGTGAAGTTGTCGCCTGTAGGCGCCTGGGGCACCGGAGTGACCATGCTGGTTTCCGGATCGCCAATTCTGTGATACGTCCCACGCGAACGGGAGCGAGCACGACCGGAGTCGTCACTTTCCGAGTCCAGGTTCGGGCTGCGCTCCCAGGTGCCTCGTCGTGCCTCGGAACGCATCTTCGAAATCTTCATGTAGTTGTAGCAACCAATACTGGCAATGGTAATAAGCAAACCTGCAATATTGACCGCGGTCAATTGGTCATGGAACACGACGCCTGCTGCACTGATCGTAATGACTTCCTTGAATATGCCACAGATACTGAGTGTGACAACGGAGGAGCGTTTCAGCAGAGCGAACTCGGCTGAGATCATGCAAAAGGCCAGCACACCGGGGAAGATCAGCAGGCAGACGGCAAAGGCGCCGCCATGAGACTCTGACAGGGCGGCAAAGCCCTCGGCGATCTTGGCAGGGCCTTCAACGGTCAAAGCGATGATAATAAGCGAGACAAACATGACGGGAGTGAGGAAGAAGAGGGTGGAGAAGGGGTTGGATGTAGCCGGATGCCTCAGGAGTAGAATCTGTGTTAGTCCCCAGCGGAAACCTGAGAAGAACGCGGAGGCGATGACTAGAGCGAAGCCCACAACATTGAAGGCTGTTTCTCCGGCGACCATCATGACCACGCCGACGGTCATGGTGGCTATGACAAAGATCAACTTGACGGAGGGCGTCTCCAGTCGGAAAATGAAAGCGAAGAGAAGGACGAAGGCGAGAGCGGAGGATTTGCACATGGTGAGGAAGGTGAGGGAGATGAACTTGAGGGACATGTTGCCCAGCCCGATGTCAAGAGACGTCGCTGCACCGCAGGGAACGAGCCGGGTGAGGTAGAAGATTTTTGTGAGAACGGGAGTGGATTCGGAGGCATCGTGACTGTTTCTGAACGGTGAACCGGACGAGGTGGATGAAGGGTGTCGCGGGCGCAGCGCTGGGATCAACCAAAGAATGAAGGACGCGAGACTGAACTGGACGAGCATATGCAAGCTAGTCGTAAAGAGAGGGAAAGGAAACACAACACGGTCTTCTGAGAACATCCATTTGTTGTACTAGTGGACGAGAGGAAAAGAGTCAGTATGCAATGTCTAGATACGGCTCCTCCCCGCAAAAGGCAGGGGTCGGGGATGATGGACATCACTTACAACGGAGATCGACAAGGAAAAGAAGTACCACAAGAGGATGAGACTCGCATTGACGAGCAGTTTCTTGACGATGTTTCGATCTGCCAAACCCATCGAGAGGATATCATATCGGGAGGTCTTGACATCAGCTATCCGAGCATCCAATTGCCTCCGTTGTTTCCTCCGTCGGCGTCTCTGACGTCGTTGTTTCGCTGTGAGACCGGTTTCTTCATCATCGTGGAGCTCATCGTCCGAGCTCGCAAAATCCATCTCCACACTCTCTGCGATAGAAGACAGATCGGAGACGTCTGCGTCATCGGCCGTCAACGGTTTCTGTTCGTCGCGCTTGTAGTTGACCGCCTCGCCAATGGCTTTGGAATGATCCTCCCTCTGCTCGGTCGGGGCGGCCAGCGATGAGGGTCCTGCGCCTGTGAGGACCGAGCTTCGACGTCGATGGTGACTTCCTGCCGGCGACAGCCCCATTTTGTAAGGTTATATGTAGAGGGTAAAACGGAAACAGGAGAATAAACAAGGGAAAAGAGAAAGGAGAGACACTGCGAGGGAGGAAAAGACGGATCTACTAGGGCGCAGTGGAATCCATCAGCGATTGATAAATAACAACGAAGATTTGCCCCAGTGGATGACAGTCGGGTTGAATGAGATCACAGCTGGAGAGCTCGAGGGAATTGAGGATGGCACAAAGGAATGCAGACTTGAAGATCAATTGATCTGACAGGTCTCGTGGGGGATGCAGGAATATCAACAGTCTTCCCGAATGGCTGAATGAATGATAATACTAACAAAAAGATTGCTCACTGGAGGAGCAAGAAGGGAACAAGGGAAAAGAAATCAAAAAGGAACGAAATCAATGCACACCAGGACGAAAGGGGTAAAAATGAGAGATATTGCAGGTAGGCAAACTTCTTGTAGATAGATACAGAGAAAAGAAAAGGGAAGACACCGCCCCCGACTTGATGCAAGGGCGCGATGGGGATTGGGGATTGGGATGAGGGGGAAATAATGAAGTTTATTGGGATTTAAAAGAGGAGGAAGAACCAAGATACTAAGGTACCTAGAGAGAGAGAGAGATAGATCTAGCTAGTTAGTTAGTTCTTAAGTTTACAGTCATCAGGATAATGCCTAACTGACCTTTGACTAGTTATCTATCTACTTTTAATTCTGCTTTTTGCTCCATAGTTAGTTATATGCCCAATTATTATTCTAGTCTATCTACTCCTTAGTTATATCAGCATGGATTATTAATTCCACTCTGCAATATCAAAAAGGTCGTGTGAGTCGATCAACAGCCCCAGATCCAAAGTTTAGGGAGGAGGGAGGGTCAGGTAACTTTTGGCTAGCGAGCCCATACAAAAGATACCTGACCCGTCACTCCTCCACATAGACCAGAGTTATGAGATCCATCATGACATCCATAATCCATATCATTGAGTGCCTGATCTGACCTGGACCTGGCATGATTTCTATGACAGAAGACAAGAAATCTTCAGCAAAAACAGGTCTAATGTAATAATGACTTGAACAAATGACAGTAATAGACTAATACCTCTCATCTGCCTGTGATACCTCGCTAATAACAATAATAATGGGGACTGACTCTTGGCTGCCTTAGCCCCTGTTAGGCTTTGCCTAGGAAGAGTCTAGTTGCGTCCGGCTGACCCTAGATTCCTGTTAACCTCCCTGTAAGAGGTCCCAAAATCTCTGATAATGCACGGAAGTTGTGCCTTGTGGATGAAAATCTTGTAGGCATCATTTGCTGTTGGTCCCTTCCGGACGATCCGGGGTTAATTATTTTCCTTATTCTTCCTTCCTTGATGCCAATGAAGAATGGATCCGAAAGGCTGAAAGTCATTCAGTCTTCCAAGCCAGGCCATGGATATCTAGTATCTAATTAAACTAACCGTTGACGAATGTTTATAAGAAGGTTCAATTGCCTACCTAACCATGAAGAATGTCTCAACTCATTAATAATAATAATGCGGTCAAAGATAATCCTGGTGGGTTCATTGACTCCTCAGCCACAATTGGTGGATGCCATGTCCGAGGTCAATACTCGATGGGCCCGAAGCCCTACGCCTTGTGCAATTATGATGAAGGACATGATATCACAGCCTTGACTAAAATGCAGGGATTATACAGGGCCTTGACAACCTTGATGACATCCCTGATGAAAGATAGCAATCATCTTGAAATTACCAATACTGACTAAGAGGAACTTGCATACATACAGAGATGGAAGGAGAATAGACGGTGAGAAGTCACGGGAACAACATTCTTGGCATGTAGAAAGGTACTCCATAGAATTCACCAATATCCATCTCCAAGGCTGGACTATTCCAGCCCAAATAAACCACCTCCAACTGAGGATGTATGATCTATCACATACTGGATGAAACTCAATGAGCTTCGGATGTGCATATGATTCGGTGACTTCGAATCTTTCACCGTGATGGTTCAATTCCATCATCTGTGTCGCTGGAGCTTCCCATGGCCAGGCTCTCTCCTTCATAGTACATTTTGGATACAGTGACTGCATCGGAATAGCAGAAAGCAAAAGCTATCATGATCATGACCACCGTCATCATCATCATCATCATGTCGTTACTATGTCCAGAAGCACAAGGGATGAAATAATCCTTAGATGGATATTACGAGACAGGTTGGCCCTATACGGGCCCCCTCATCAGCTTCTTCCTTCCTCTATGCTGTCTTGCAGCTCCAGAGGTTGTCGTGTCTGCACGTCGATAGCTGAATTTGATACTCAAGAGAATCACCCTTATCACCGACTACGTCCGTGATCACTGAGGACAGCCCTCTCTCTGATCCATCGTCATGGCCACTACCTACAATGCCATAGAAGACTACGGGCTCATCGGGGATATGCACACCTGTGCCCTTGTGAGCAAACAAGGCAGCTTGGACTACATGTGCTGGCCTGTCTTTGACTCTCCGAGCGTCTTCTGCCGCTTGCTAGACACCCAAAAAGGGGGCTACTTCAGCGTTTCTCCTCCTGCTTCTTCGCCTAATATCCTCAATAAGCAGCGGTACCTGCCGTACTCCAATATGCTCGAGACTCGATGGACCAACGAGGATGGCGTGGTGACCATGCTGGACTACTTCCCCGTGTCCCCCAAGAAGAGCGCCCAGTCGGCCAGGATCCTGTCCGGGTATTGTCCCTGCAACGAGCCCGGGGTGAACCGGTTCAAGTCCGGGCTGCGGCACTCCGGCGTAGTCAGGAAGCTGGACTGCAGCCGTGGCAATATGGACTTGGAAGTGGAGGTCTTCCCCGCGTTCAACTACGCCCGGGACGCCCACAACACCCGGGCCAAGCTTAACAACGATCTGAGCAAGCATCAACTCCAGACTGTCCACTTTGAGAGTGAGTCGGAGAAACTCCAGCTGGAGATCTTCGCCCATTCCAAGCAGGTCGAGAGGGTGGGATTTCCCGAGGTGAAGTTCAGCATCGAGGAAAAGCCAGGCTTGCAGGGACGCGGCCTTGTCGCTTGGATCAGACTGTCTCAGGGCCAGAGCATGACCTTTGTCATCCACAGTCCTGAGAAGATCGTGCCCAGCGACGCCATGATGGAAGCCTACCTCGACAGAATGGAGGAGGAGACGTTCGACTACTGGACCGGGTGGACCCGCCAGTGCACGTTCCGCGGTCACTACCGGGAAACCGTGGAGAGGAGCCTGCTCATTCTCAAGCTACTGACGTACAAGCCCACGGGTGCAATTGTGGCGGCGCCCACCTTTTCCTTGCCGGAGAACGTGGGCGGCGGCCGCAACTGGGACTACCGGTACTCCTGGGTCCGGGACACGGCCTTCACACTCTATGTCTTCCTCAAGATGGGCTACAGCGAGGAGGCGGAGGCGTACGTGACCTTCATCTTCGATCGGATCTTTCCGCACGCGCAGCAGGACGCCGGGCCGGGCTCGAAGCGGCCCTTCTTGCCGCTCATGTTCACCATCCGCGGCGAGTACGAGATCCCCGAAGTGGAGCTGAGCCATCTGGAAGGGTACAAGGGCAGCAAGCCCGTGCGCATCGGCAACGCGGCCGTCTTCCACACGCAGCTGGACATCTACGGCGAGCTGCTGGACAGCATCTACCTGTACGACAAGCACGGCAACCCGATCACCTACGACCAGTGGCTCGCGATCCGGCGCATGGTCAACTACGTGATCGGGGTGCGCCACGAAAAGGACATGTCCATCTGGGAGTCCCGCGGCCAGATCCAGAACTTCCTCTACTCCAAGATCATGCTCTGGGTGGCGCTGGACCGCGGCGTGCGCCTCGCCGAGAAGCGCTCCAGCCTCCCCTGCCCGGACCGCCTCAAATGGATCCAGGTCCGCGATGAGCTCTACGACGAGATCATGGAACGCGGCTACAACTTTGACCGCGGCCACTTCACCCAGAGCTACGAGAGCCGCGACGTCCTTGACGCCGCCGTCATGATCGCCCCCCTCGTCTTCTTCTGCCCGCCCAATGACCCCCGCTTCATCAGCACTCTCGAGAAAATCCTCCAGAACCCCAATGAGCAGGGGCTCTCCAGCGCCAAAATGGTCTTTCGCTACGACCACGAGAAAGCTCGCGACGGTAACCGCCCCTTCCATCCCATCATCCCATCCTTCCTCCCCATCCCATCCCATCTTATCCAATCGCTGACAAAACGTAACAGGCGTCGGCGGCCGCGAAGGCGCCTTCATCATGGTCACATTCTGGCTCGTCGAAGCCATGGCCCGCGTAGGTTTCCCTATCCGCCAGTCCCCTGATCAGTTACTAAGAAGAGGAAACAGGCCGCAAAATACAACGTGCCCATCCCGAACCTCTGGAAACTCGCCCTCGCGCATTTCGACAATATCCTCTCCTACTCGAACCACCTGGGCATGTTCTCCGAGGAGGTCGCCATCTCCGGCGAACAGATGGGGAATACCCCGCAGGCGTTCAGCCATCTGGCCTGTATCAGTGCGGCGCTCAATCTGGAGAAGATCGGTCGGGATCAGGATGAGAATTTCACTTAAGTTGGGTTTGGGTCCTGGGTTCGTTTCAGGGTTGTCAAGCTTCAGTGTACTGTTTGGAAGGTTATTTCAATCTTAGACTTTTGCAGGTTGCTTTAGAAGGGTTCTTTATTTTTTTCACAGGCTAGAAGCAAGATAGGATTGTTCTCTTTCTTTACTCTAAGAGCAATTGAATTGTTCGTATGATCAATTTGTTTGAGCAGGTCTACCGGCAACAGCCTGACAAGCCATTTCCCTCCCCGACCACCCTGCTCTGGGGGGGGGAATCTGAGACAGCTCAGCATCCAGCGAATTCTTCAATGTATATTGTTGTCCGTTGCTTATTTCGTTTTCCACATCCCCCGTCTTCTATCTGTCTGGTTAAATTCGTCATGTCAAGGCACTATTCTCGCGCAATATGCTCTATTTTTGGCGCGACAGGTGGTTTCACCCCACATACCTTCGCCTTGAATGAGCCTTGGGACTAAGCTTCGCCTCTGCAATTCAGATCCTTATTAACCGCCCTTTCTCTGCCCAGCAGCACCAGGTCCCGGTGAAGCACTTGCGCTAGCCGAGTTACGAGTATCCTTGACCGATGCAGAGCGTGAAAACGCCCCTGCCGTGCCGATCGTCGTACTGGCATTGCGAAGCTCGATCTTCTTGCGCTCCATTTCAAGCTGTATCCCCAGAACTGTTAGCTTTGGTTTTTTGCCCGCTGGACTGGAACTGAGTTGGAAGTACATACCACCTTGCGCACTCTGGTCAGAGCAGCTGTATCACCGGCCACGATTGATCGGCAATCGTCTACATGATAAGGAGGCGCAATAGTGACGGCATCTGCCACGATAATATTGGGTCCGTCCCACCGTGCGGGCATTGTGCGGCTAAACGCATCGAAGATCTCCTGTGCCTCCCTCGTGACCCCCTTTCCACGCCGCGCCTCGCTCTCCTGCAATTTGCCAATGGCGCTGGCCTCTCGAGCCCTCAAGGCTCGAACGTCAAGCGCATGCACCGGAGGTACGGCATCGGAGAAGGACGGGCCTTCAGCGGAGTTGGCAGTGGGAGCAAGAGACAGGAGTTGGAATGACTGGATCCGCGATACCGGGATAATGCGGTAATCGGCCGCTTGTGTCTGTTTGCCGTCGGCTGTATTGATAGCAACGAGATTTGTGATAGGACAGGCGGTAAATAGAGTGCCCTCGATCGTAGAAGACGTGGGGGGTGCAGTACTAATGCGAATGCTATCACGGGGAAACACTCAACACTCAGCTATAGAACATAGGGGGCTTGCGGACTCTAGCTGCGCCAAAACATCCCAAGGGAAACGGTTACTCACCGTGCGCCAATTGCGCCGCTCAATGCCACTTCCAACGGCACCATGGCAGCTGCCATTCCCGCACTTGTAGCTGCACCCGAGGGACCTTGCGCTGGTGCTTTCACTCCGACACCGTGGCGCTTGTTCTCTGCCATATGAATGCCGCCCTCGACAGAAGCAAGTCGAAATGAGGCAATCAATACCCCTAAGTCTTCCGGAAACTGGAGCCAAGGTAGCTGCTGTATCGACGAGTATGCGCCGACCGAGCCACACTAGTTCAAAACAGAAAGCCGACCGTACCGAGTTGCTCCCAATCCTCACTCAATAAATGTCGTCCGTTGAATTCAGGATCCCACTTCTTCGCGGCAGTGATGGAATCGACCAGTTCGAACTAAGTGGGACTTTGCGGGAGGAGGAAAATAGGTTGACAAAGGAGCGACGGCAGAAAGGAATAACAACAAGAATGAACCGATGCAACCAATGCGAGCCGGAAGAAAGTGAACAATATTGGGAAAAAGGCACTGCCAAGCAGACAGGATGATTGGCTGTGGCTGCTGGCTCGGAAGAAGGAAGACGATGGAGGTCGTCGTCGGGCGGAGAACGGAGAGGTCTCAAAGTGTTTTGGAGATGGAACAACGTTGCACTGCGGGCAGCTCATCACCGCCCGATCGAGTCTAGCGGCATCACCGATGAGCAAATCACTGTAGACAACACTCCTTCTCATCTACGTAGCAATATGATGTCAAAGCATTTTATCGAATATTTGAGTGTTTTTATGGTTCGAAATGGCTCGTACTAGAACCTTATACTAGAACAGAAGAAGACATTCATCCATTTCCGTGAGGACCATTAAAGAAGCATGCATCTAAGTACACTGATATAAGTCATTTTTTTACCGTCATCATCTATGTGCCCCCGAGCCATAGACAGGCCATACCGCATTTTCGAGTCACACTTTCCTCTCAGGGCAACGAGGTCTTACGTCCAGCGCAGTGCGTCGTGTCTCCGTCAGAATTTAAACAACGTAGGTGGAAGCGGACACGTCACCACCACGGCCGGTCCAGTTGACGTGGATATCCTTGCCCTCGGGGTAGTTCTCGTTGGCGCACTCGGGCTTGATGCGGAAGGTGTGAGCACCGAAGTAGTCACGCTGAGCCTGCAGCAGGTTGGCAGGGAGGTCCCGGGTGCGGTATCCGTCGTAGAAGGTCAGAGCAGTGCTGAAGGCGGGGGTGGGGATACCCCAGAGGGCGCCCTTGCTGACGACGTTTCTCCAGCCCTGCTGAGCGTTCTGGATGGCGGCCTTGAAGAAGTTGTCGAACAGGAGGTTCTCCAGGTCGGGGTTGTTGCGGTAAGCGTTGGTGATGTCCTTGAGGAAGACGGAGCGGATAATGCAGCCACCACGCCACATGAGGGCAATGGAGGGCTTGTTCAGCTTCCAGCCATACTCGCGAGCAGCCTAATCGATCATTGTCAGTCATTGCAGGTAACATATGGAGATGTGCAATGGTTTACCTCCTGGATGAGCATGAAGCCCTGAGCGTAGGAGATGATCTTGGAGGCATACAGAGCCTGCTCGAGGTCATCGATGAAAGCCTGCTTGTCACCGGTGAACTGGGGGGTAGGGCCATCGAGGAGGCTGCTGGCACGGACACGCTCGTCCTTGATGGCGCTCAGGCAACGGGCGAAGACGGCCTCACCGATCAGGGTGACGGGCATGCCAAGGTCGAGAGCGTTGATGGCGGTCCACTTGCCGGTACCCTTCTGGCCGGCCTTGTCAAGGATCTTCTCAACGAGGGGAGTGCCATCGTTGTCGTTGAAGTAGAGAACGTCACGAGTGATCTCAATAAGGAACGAGTCCAGGACACCCTTGTTCCACTTGGCGAAGACATCGGCAATCTCGTTGACGGGCATGCCCAGACCACGCTTCATGATATCATAAGCCTGTCGTCATGTTAGTGACCTGTTCCTTGCAGAGTATCTGAGGAAAAGGCGTGGCTTACCTCGCAAATCAGCTGCATGTCACCGTACTCGATACCGTTGTGAACCATCTTGACGAAGTGACCGGCGCCCTCGTCACCAACCCAGTCACAGCAAGCCTCGCCGTCACTCTTGGCGGCAATGCTCTGGAAGATGTCCTTAATGTAGGGCCAGGCCTCCTCGTTACCACCGGGCATCAGAGAGGGACCGTAACGGGCACCCTCCTCACCACCGGAAACACCGCTACCGACGAAGCGGATGCCCTTCTCCTTCAGGTACTTGGTGCGGCGGTTGCTGTCGGGGAAGTGGGAGTTACCACCGTCGATGATGATATCACCCTCCTCGAGATGGGGCAGGAGAGACTCGATGAAGTCGTCGACAGGCTTGCCAGCCATAACCAGCAGCATGATACGGCGGGGGCGCTTCAGCTTGGCGCAGAATTCCTCGACGGAGTGAGCACCGACAATGGACTTGCCTGGATTGAATCAGTTAATTTGGCGTTCCCTCAATTGAAATTTATTAGTGAAAGCCTCACCCTTGGCCTCATTGGCAAGGAAGCGGTCGACCTTGGAGGTCGTACGGTTGTAAGCGCAGACAGTGAAACCGTGATCAGCAACGTTGAGGATCAGGTTCTGGCCCATAACGGCCAGACCGATGAGACCGAAATCAGCACTAGGTAAAGGACGCGCCGGTGCGCCGACATTGATGCCGGCCAAACGGGCGCTTAAGTCAGTTGGTAGATCCTCAGGTGAATAGTTGAGACAGAACTGGGAGACGGTATATTGGGGAGCTGCAAACGCATGCTTTCGACGGTAGGAAGGTTGAAAAATCAACAAGCTCAATTTTGAGCTTCCTATAGCTCAAGAGCAAGCTTGTCCAGCGCAAAGTATAGCCTTGCGACGTTGCCCTCAATGCCACCAAAGGTACCGAAGTGGATTGAAATCCAGGGGGGATAGAGTGATGGTGATGATGATGTAGTGGATGGATGCGGATAAACTCTAGAGAGTACTTACACAGCTTGGTCAGACATGATGGAAGGTTGAGAAGAGGGGTATATGTGGGATGAAGTTCAAGGAGATAGACCGTAGACGAAGAATCTACAGAAACAGCTCCAATAGAAGATGATGAAAGACGAAGGGTATTAGAATGGATTACGGAGAAGAAAAGGAGAAGAAGGGAAGAGGAGAGAAGATGTCAGAGCCGGATTATTATTATTTTATTACTAGGAATTAGGTGTAGTTAATTACGGACCTTGGATGCTGACGGAGCAACCTTCCGTCATGGTGGGACACTGCACAGGACAAGAAGTGGACAACGGGCGGGGCACCAGAAAGAACAGAGGGAGCAGAGTCGTCCGGTGAGTTGCAGACTACATAGATAGAGTAACGCTGGAAGCATCCATTGGAGACCACGGAGTTATGGATGATTACTTTAGTATTAGTTGATCATAAATCAATCCCACGGATGGTGGGATTCTTAGACCACTGCAAAGGACCTCAGCACTGCTGGACAATTACCTCCTTTCTGAAGAACTCTGGATATGCTACTACATACTCTGTACACACTCTCACAAGGTTATCGAACAGTTGTATCCTCGTTGTCCAGGAACTTCGGAGATGACGGTAGTCGATGGCGGGGCACAGGAGCTGTAAATGGAGGGGCAAAGATAGCCAAAAAAAAAGTGTGCTGAGACTAACTAGTAGCGGTGCTAGTGCCTCCAAGTCAGGTGTGCTCGGTGAAGCAAAGGAGCCCTTATACTTCCGATAACTTCCTGAACAATAATTACTCCGTCTATCAAGATTAAAGCATTATCAGGCATGATTGCTAAAGCATGGTCGCTTTTACGCTATCTCCGTGGGAATGTTGGCTTTTATACTCGTCTGTACTCTGTATTTAGTAGACCATGCGCTCCTCCGGGCTTTTGTCGCATTTGGTCTAGCAGTTAACATTGCACAAATACTGAATCCATACGATAAGCTGGTAGTAGCGCTCTTGGTTTTTGCTACACCAACGGAGTTTTAGATGCCCATTATCGCCTAGAAGAATATTTTTCCTACTCACCGGGATTTCAAGAATAATACAGCATCTGATGGATTACTGATGCAGAACGTCTCGTCCCCCATAACGCCGTTGTCGGCTATTGCATTACCCAAAGCGGCTTAGGGTGGGGGTTGCATCATTCTGTGGTAAATCCGTTGGGCAGCTTAGTCATCGAGTCAGTGGCTGAGCCACTGCTTGGGAACAATAATTTGCCGCAATCCGGAGACCCCTACGGCAAGGCAGAGGAACCAGCAGTGTTTTCTCTCTCTTGGCGCAACATGGACAGTAAGCTGGATTGACCTCACTTTGGGATTCAATTATTGCCACAGGACAAGGACTCAAACTGTCCCGTCGACACCCGCGACAATCTCTCTTCGAGACATACGGTCGTCAAGATACACCCTCTCTTTTTTCATTCGGCTCAAAAGTGTTGACTGCCTCTTGCGTGTGTCGATTCTACCACCAATCTTCCATTGCTTTCTACGCAGTTGAACGGCCATTCAAAGGATACAAGTCGAGAACGAAGACGGTCGTGGTGCATCATTCACTTGCCTCAAAATAGATTCAGGATTCGGGACCTTTTTCAGGCGTGACGTCTGACGTGTGACTGCTCGTCAGTCAGGCCCTGAAGGTACGTGTCTGCTGCTACTCCTGCACGCGGCGCAATCAAACCATCCATACCGTATCTCTGTTTCGAACGCTCCGTTCATCATGTCCTTTCCGCCACCTCCAGGTCTCAAACAAACACCATCTTCGCTCCCCGCGCGGCCACCAGCATCCGCAAGCACAGCCGCCGCATCTTATCAACCTGCATACTCGGCCGCGCCCTCATATACAGCTCCAGCTGCCAGCAGCGGATATGGCGGGACCGGCTCTCGGACGGGCTATAATTCCTTCACAGCGTTCCAGCCTCGTGCCGTAGCTTCCAGTCAGCCTTATCGTACCGGCAGTCCGGCCGTCTCGACGCCGCCAGCTACGGCAGCGGATTACTCGGCGCCGGCTGCTACAAATTACGGTAGTTACTACTCTCAGGCACCGCAAACGTACCAGGGTGGACCGACTTATTACGGCTCCGCACAGTACAGTGACACCACCTATGGCCCATCTGTGCCTCACATTCAAAATCCGTTCACTGCTACAGGGACGGGAAAAAATTACGGACGCAATGACTCCGGTCTAGATCCCGAGACAGAAGCTCAAATTGCGCAGTGGCAGAGCGCTTATGCCAACAAAGAGGAAGTTCTGGGAGGAGGCAAGGTAGCAGGTCGTCGCGACGGAGCCACGGGAATGCCAGGTGCTACCGTGGGAACCAACACACCGACTAGTGCGACAGCGACGAGTACCCCCACGCCTGTGCCGGGCCATCCAGAGCAATCGGCCAAGACCGTTGTGCGTTCCGGCGGTGGCCAGACGTGGGCCGATCCGACTCTACTAGAATGGGATCCGGCGCATTTCCGACTCTTCGTGGGGAACCTCGCGGGCGAGGTGACGGACGACTCGTTGCTGAAAGCTTTTTCGAGGTATTCATCCGTTCAGAAAGCGCGAGTCATTCGGGACAAGCGCACCCAGAAGAGCAAGGGGTATGGATTTGTCAGTTTCAGCAACGGCGATGACTACTTCGCGGCTGCTAGGGAGATGCAGGGCAAGTACATTGGCTCACATCCGATTTTGCTGCGACGGGCCACCACGGAGATCCGTCCGACGACGAACAACAAAGGCGGGAAGAAGAACGCTGGCGGTCAAGGCGGAGGTCAAGTCGGGGGGAAGGTCAAGCATGACGGCGTCAAGAAGCCGGGCAAGACGAGGGGCGGACTGAAGATTATAGGTTGATAAGCATCTTCCATTGCGTATATCAATATAATTAATGATTCGTAAGACATGTCATTTTGTGTGTATGTACTGATCGCATGAAATATAGTACAAATAATACCGTCGCAAGTATTTTCAATCGATCGGTTGCATGATATACCCAACTCCAAGCGCCATTGCCCATCCTTTGGACATCAGAAAGTCAACCAAACCAAGAATATACACCTGATGTCACCACTGAGCATGCATGCATTATGCAAGACCAATATCTATGAGCGACATAGATCAATGTATAAATATGTTGCTTTGTTCGTATCTTGCTTCAAACTGCGCCCCATCAAACCCGAATTAGAGAGCGCCGAGCGAAAGGCCAGTGACAGGCCTGATACTCGTCCCCACACTCTCATCGACGTCAAGCCAAACGGCGTGATTCATAACAACATGGCGTAGTATAAGGTAGTTCAAATCGTAACGCATCAAGTCATGCACAGCATAGAAGGAAGATCGTGATCGTGATCGTGATCGTCGTCGAAATAATCGGTAAACACGGACAATAAGAGGTCACCCCTCCTCAGCGCCCTCCTCATCAACAGCCCGTTTCTTGGAGAAGAAGGAGACGTGGTTTTGCATGGCGTAGATGCCGAAGCCGGCCAGGGCGAGGATAATGAAGAGGATTATGATGATAATCGCGATGGTGATGTTTTTTTGGACCATTTCGTTCGGTTCGTCTCCCCGGAGAGGAGTGAGATATATATATACGGAGTAGAAGTTCTATGACGGTAATGTAGATATGTAGATGAAGGTCAACGAGACCCTCGAAACCGGAAATCCTCCGTAAGGGGTGAAGAAGAACAAGATACGAGAAAGAAAGGAGGGATGGAAATTCTTCGAGGGACCATGTGCATGGCCGGGTAGTTTTAAGGGACGTGGCCCAGCCATGTTGATTTCCTTGTGAAGTATCAACTGTCGGTGGCTGGGCTGTGGGACAGCATCGTGTTCCTCCGCACGGGAAGAGATGTATCTATAGTCGGGCGCTATTCGTTGGGCAAGCCGATCCTGATTGGGTTGAGGGTACTTAAGCTGTCGGGCTAGTTGTTAGGCTAACCAGGTACCAAGTACTTTGGGCCCAGCCTCCGCATTTATCAATGGCCACAGGATTGACAATGGCAGAGGCGCACAACTCATATTGAGGGCCAGTTTTTTTCCTGTCAAGGAAGATTGATGCTGTTGAAGGGTCTTTATCTAGTAGGAAGATAGTGTCTTTTTTAAGCTATCATCTTGGCTCGAATCCACATCTTCTTGGCAGGTATGCTGCACTAACTGCAGCCTTCAATCTAGGGATTCCTTTTGCTTTCATGACGTCGTTGAAGGTTGAAGAAGATCTTGAGCTGCAAAAATGTCCTGAATAAATGCCTCTCAGAAGAAGGAGTGAATGTAACATTATATACTTCATACTACACCAAAACCTGGAGAAGGACTTGGGTGTATAGAGCTGTTTCCTTTTAGGGAACATCCTCTACGTCAACGTCACTGACTTCTCTTATCGGTTCGATCAACACCGATCCGATGCTTGGCACTTCTGTAAGATGACCCAATGTCTCGACAACGGTCTGATTCTGCTCGAATTGCAGAGTATTCCGAATTGTTCACATGTGACTTGGCTACCAGTAAACGGAATGCTCGGGTCTATCCAGATCGCAAGTGATGATCTCATTGTGATCGTTTGGCCCGTTCCATCGATGAACACGCGCACATGACTGGACAGATCCTTGGATCACGACACTGCATCGATGGGAAACACAACACACTTCGGACACTCGGGTTTCGTGTTTTCCGATGCGAAGCTGCTCGTATCGGCATGAATCAGGTTGATGGGCATCTGGATCGTGCCGAGTTCGCCCATTTCACCAATAGTGATGTGCGCTGAGATTATTCACCAACTGGCATGCACTGATATGCTCGGTCAATCCAGATCAGACATCCGGGGGAAGACATTGCATTGAACTCCCTGACGTAATTTGTTTTCATTTCTAATCCCTGCGGGCTGCCTTGTCATGTGTCTTCGATATCTATAGGCCATTTCTAGGCTTCCTCTACGCCTTCGATGTGCAAGTCTTTCATTCTACATGTAACCTGATCTGCAGCCTGCATCATGGACGCTGAGCGCGCCGTAGAGCATCG